GATAGGTAAAACCTTTTATTAGAGCAACTGATAGAGGATGCTCTCCTCTCCCACTGCAACCCCTTCTATTTTTACACAGCTGATTAAAAAATTAGTTCAGCTGGAAAAGACATGTTTTGGGGCCCTACTTTTCTACCTAATCCTTCTTTCCTTGGAAAAAGTGCTAGTCCCAATGACAAAAAAGCACATCACCATCTACCTTTTCAATACCCCCAGCCAAACAAGTTCAATTTTTAAAGTGCAGTTTTACCCCTGTAACTGTATCTACATTAAGGGATTCCACTGGCAGAGCTGCACTAGGTGAGAATGAATGTGCTGATTAATGCAAGCTGTCCCAAGCGTTTGTAGCAGAAATGACCTTAGAAGCACGTCAACAGAGAGTTAAAGCCACATAATCACGTTGCAAATCCATGCCCCCTACTTGATACCAGTTTAATTTTCCTGGCAGATGACCCTTAAGGGTCACAGGAGCTGTAAATTCCCAACTTGACACTTCATTGTTATTTTTTCCATGAGAAAGTACCAAATGAAGGTACACTGTCATATACAGTACATCCTCTTGCACAGTCAACCCACATTAAAAAAAAAAAGAGAAGAGAAAAATCTGAGCTCCATGGTGGGAAGGAAAAAAGTATCTCAAGTCAAGCGCTACACGACAATGGCATGGAAAATATGGTGATAAAGTGCAACATTTCAGTTTTAAATAGGAAACAACTTTAAAAGTTTGTCATAGCAAACATTTTAGACAAAGACAGTGCACTAAAGCTAGTACTTACGTAAAATATATTATAGAGTATCTGATGGCCCTTACAGCTAAGGTAGTAGACTTAATTTGAAATTAGCTGCAACTTTGAAGAGAATTTCATACAAGGATAGTCCCACATCCATTGTGACATTAAAAAATCCAATATGGCAAAACATACATGGCACACAACACAGGGTCATGGGAGGGATTTTGATCAGGGCCTTGTTATCCTGTTACTTGTTACTCTTCAGCATAATCTGCAAGATTCAATCACTCCTACTGCAAATCTTAAAACTGTTAAAACACCTCACGGCTGCTTTGTAGCTTGCAGTGTGCTCTGGAAGGCAAAGGGAAAAGAATTAACAGAGATGCCCCCCAGCCACTTGAGGGAAAATAAAAGACAATCTGCACCTGAGACTATCTTCTCAGAAGATACATGAATGGGACAGCTAGTCACAACTTCAAGCTTGGCAACAGCTTACATGTTTTGAAGGGAAAAAAAACAAAACTCGGCATTTAAAGATGTCTGCAAGATCATTTTACCTGAGCAGCAGCCAGCGCTGCCATCCTTTGGTACTGCCTTCTAGCAAGCCACACACTTCCAAGGCATCCAATGTAACTTTGGCTTCACTAAAGGAAATATCCAAGGAGAAGGGAGCTTCTAGATGCCAAAGCAGCAGTCCATGAACACAATTCATCCTAATGTATTTCTTAAGCTCCTTCCAAAGGAAAGAGACCTTTAATACCCAAAATCTTCATTATTACTCTCCTTATATACTGACACAGGGCAGCAGACCTCTTGGAATATGCTAAAACACCAGCCAGTTCTGGTCTGAAACAAGAAACTCCTCCTTTTCAAATGAAGTAAAGAATCATACAAATGAAGCCTATATTTAACTTCCTATTCACTGCAGGAGTTGCAAACAAGTTCTTGTAAGCACTCTACAGGTCACGGATTTCCAATATCTTATCTAAATGTTAAGCTGCTGAAGTAGAGCTCAAAACCCTTTCCCAACAGACTTTCTGGAGCGCCACTTACAACCAAGGCCATTGGCTAAGTAACATAGATGTAAAGCCAAAGGAAGAAAATAATTTGACAACAGATCCGGTTTAACAAATTGGCTTGCATATAATTATTAAGTGCATCACCTGCATGCGTGTGTGTATATATATATGTATATAAATTACTTTTGCTCTGTATGCTAAAAAAAGCACAGCACATTCATTTGGAAGACACAGACTATTACAGGTCTGTCTCAGGTGTATAAAAGCTACCTTGACTTTTCATGCCTTAAATTCCTCTCAAGATACTGGAAGACCATGTTGGAGCTTCTACAAAACAACAATCTGCTAAATCAGATGTACTCTCACAGCCACCTGGGTTACATCATGGGCCATACATAGCTAAAGAAAGCAAACTTACTCTTTAGTTTTCTTCTTCAGTTTAATACAGTGTAGTAACAAGTGCCAGAAGTGTTCCCTCTTGGATTGAAAGATAAACTAGCAAGCACTACAGGTAGAAAAATAACACAGTTTTCTTCAACTATAATAAGAAGATTGCACATGATAGCAAACTTGAAACAAGAAAAATAGCTCTGCACCTACAAGAAGAGTCAAATTGCCAAACTCATCATCACACAACTGACCCTATCAGAATTTTAAAAGGGTTTTGAATTTTCTTTGGGTTGTCACGTCACAAGAGGATGAAGTATAAAAAAAGCCCCACAAAGTCTGGAAAAGCTTCACCTGTAACTTTTACTTGCCAGGTTTAAGGAAGGTACTTTAACTGCAGGGAATAAAGAGCTTGGTTTACTTTTGGCTGGCAAGCGATACAATGACTATTTTTACTATGAATATTTGAGTCAAGATACATTTACAAATGCAAATTATTTTAAGACAACTGGATTTTTGGTTTTTAAGTTGTTAATAGGTTCACTGTATTCTCAACTGCTGAAATATGTGTAAAAGCGTTAGTCCTAAGGATGCTACATGTGTAGTGAACAGACCAAGCAAAGAGAAATACCTGTGATCTTAACTAAAGCAGAGTAATTAAGGGGAAAAACAGGAACCCTGAGTGCTGCTATTACAGGAAGGAAAATTAAATACAAAAAAATAACCACAACAACATGTATAGCACCTGAAGAAGAGTGAAAACTATTCAGATTACACATGGTACACAACAGTGGCACTTATTCGGTCTGACTAACAGAATCAGAGGTTTTTTCTCAGCTCTGTAAAAGCTAAAGATGCATAAAGCATGCTTGGTAACACTTCTGGTTCAGATTTAGCTTACCTTCAAATGTTAATAGTGTATTCAGGTCAACACTTGTGATAACAATATGAAATATTAAGAACTCAATTGCATAAAAGATTTATACTCAAGGAAAATACCACTTGCACAGTACATGAAAAAACACAATATTCGGTCCAAATGGGAAGCAAATCAAACAATTCCAACATTTGCAGAAGTACAGGTATCCATAATCATTCTGTATATGGTCACACTTAATCCAAGCAAAATATGCACGTTCCAGATTAAACTGATGTAGGTTTTACTGTGGGAGGTGTGAGGGGCTTTTGTTTAATAAAACTATCTGAAAAACCCTGCACAAGTACAGTTTCAACACAAACTGAGTTTCAGACTGCTTTAACAATTCTTTTGGGTCAGACTCAAAAGGATTTAAAAAAAAAAAAAAAAAAAAAGTCTTCCCCCTACCCCATACCTATGGATGAGAGAGTCGACCCCTTCCTCAGATCTGCCATGTAGCTTCACACACACACACACCACAGTTTAGAGAAGTGAAATATACATTCCACTAGTCAGTAGGTGGTGTGAGGGCCTTCCAAAACTCCAGAACCCTTCCAATTTTATTTATACTCCATAACAATACTCAAAGAGCACAATACCTCATCTTCTGCAACAGCTCCAACATTTTTCACTGAAGTAACTCTTTGGTTCAATTCAGCCACTGAGTAAGACACAGGAGTACGTAGTCCCCTTAGGCTTCTCTCCCAAATCCTTCCTGCTTTAAATAACTCACCGACATCTGCATTCACTGGTGAACTGATTTTGGTGCTCAAAGCTGCTTATCACCTATAGTTAGCTGTAATGAGATGACTGCCTCCCCACACATGCTTAAGCTGCTTAGACATTACTGTCAAAGGACACAGAACAACCAACCAGCCCTACCTTCTCGTGCCTTTTTAGGATTTCTAAACTCACTTTTTTAAATGCTTGACAATAACGGGACACCAGCAATGGACAGTGCCAATCAAAACTAAAGATTACATGATATTTTGCATAAACCCACTGTGTCAGTTTAAAAAAAAAAATGGGGAAAATGAAGCTCAAAATAGAACTACATGAAGGGGTGGATGCCACAGCAGAATAATCGAGTCATACAATAGCTCACCTTTAGATCACAGTTGAATCAGCTGTGACAAAGATACAGGAGCATCCCCACAAAGAAGGCACTGCAAAGCTCCTATCCCGGGAATGTACTTGTGGAGCTTGGCACCTTTGGTCATTACCTGTTGCACTTCAAACCAACCACTAGTCACACAGGTCAAGGACCTCCTACCAGAAAAGTGAACTGTGTGACACAACCACTGTTTAAATGCAGTGTCTCAAGGAAACAAGGTTATTCAAGTCTGCTGGCAAACAAATGCTTACACCACAGGTACAAATACCTAGTCATATCTTTGCTGATAAAGAACAGGGAGAAAACGGATATGCCAGACTTTCTTCCATATTTAGAAAGCACAAAGTAACCCCTTTCAGCCTGGAAGACTGTGAAGCCAGTCTATCAACTTTCAGCAAGCTAACCTCAGAATGGAAAGGAAAAAATAAAACACAGACAATGACAGAGTTCCAAAACCACTGTAAGACAATTCAGCTGCAATTCAGCCACCTAAATGGCCAAAATTGCTAGAGCATAAAAGTTAGGTACCAAATCTTGGTAGTTTTTATTCAAAAAAACTGACATCAATTTGGTGAATGAACAGGACTGAGCTTTTTACTCTGTTCTAGTGGACTTACTTAGGCATTCCTGTAGCATCCTCCAAAGATAAGAGTGTATCCCCACAAACAATACATAGATATACTTACTTAGAGGGTAAAATTACGAAGTGAGAGGCAAAAAGGAAGCAACTTATTTTTCTTTGCATGATATTTAAGGTAGTTGCAAATGTATTCTGGGCAAAACAGAGAAAAGTTAGAGGTGTCACCCAAGCTCTCTCTGTTGAGCAGTCACTGGAATATGGAGCCAACCTCTCACAATCAAGAAGGAGTAGGATGCCAGAAGTAAGTCAGCCTGCAAGATGTTGTATGGAAATGAGTTAGCAAGTGCTAAATCAGCTTTTATTTAAATCTTTACTTGCTCATCAGTTCAGAACTTTTGAGAGCACACATTCCCTCAAGTCTGGGACCAGAAATCACAGCAAGCGCCTTTCAGGATGCAGCTACTCTCACTGATTCCTCTGGGGTCCCAGATGCTCTTTATCAAAGGTAGCACTGGGGCTGAGGAAATCACTGCCCCCAGCTGCCTCCTCCATCCCTCAGCTGAAGACTACCAGCCAGCAGCTGGAGCAAAACAGGATCCATGCCTGTTCTTCACCTGGTCTGGCTCACAAGACACTGATGGGTATTAAGGAAAAAGGGCTGAAGCCTACTACCTTAATCTGTGGCATCTGAGCAGGCACTGCTGTAGGCCCTAACACAAGGGAGGTAGCATTTGGCAAAGAAACAGGACAGCTGGTGGAGAAGATAACCTTTCCAACTACAAAAGCTAAATCAGAGACAGCTTATCTGTCAGAGCTTTCAAACGTGTAGGAACATCCTACCAGCAGAGACACATAAGATCTCATGACCTTTTTCACTGCTTTTATCAGATTGGGTTGACACAGATCTTCTACTAATATAATTATGGCAGCTACGCCCATGTTATTTTTTAACAGAAACAATCACATCACTGTTGACTTCCATGGATAGCATTATATAGATGGGGAGGTACCCTATCATATCAAAACTTATTCCTTTACTACCTGAGAAGGGGATAAAATCATTTATCGTGAATTAAACTGACCCCATACTGACAGGGAGCTCTGCAAAATAAAAGAAAGCTTAAAGAAGTTTGTCTTTTATACACAGTTAATGCCATTCAAAATGCACAAAGACAAGCTTACAGAAATAAATTAAGGCAAATTACTTGCATCTTAATACTATCTGCAGAGTAGTTTGCACCTATGTGGACTACATAGGGAAGCACAGGCACCTCACATGCCAATTAAGAGAACTGCATCTATTAGAACGTACATCTACCCGAACAGCACACTGGGAAAGCCAAAAATAACAGCTGCTGCCACATCAGAACAGCACAAGTACTGCATACAGGCGATGCCTGCAAAACAGAAACTAAGCAGCCATGCATAAACACTTCCTCTTCCTCCCCCACCACCCCTACGACAGCAGCAACAAACCTGATATTAAACTCTCGCCAGCATCCTGCTCTGCATTCCTGTCACATCAGGAATAGAAAAGAGGAAGACTGCTAACTGCTCCTCCATGTATCTGAAGGGGTCCTTCAGTTTACAGGAAGCAATACAAATACTTGACATGATTCTTGCAGAGGTTTCTGTCACATTTTCTTCTTTACTTTCACTCCTTTTTTCTAGCTCACCCATTTCAGAGCTCACTAGGGACCCCTTGGATTTACTAGGCTTGGTTTTCATACATTCTTTCTCAAAGACAGAAATCACAAATAAAAGCAGTTGCTCCTAGGCAAGTAGCATCATACGAACAAGCAAGTGCAGAGCCACAGCTCTACTGAGCTGCCACACACAAACTCCACAAGTCAAGTTCAAACCTAAATCCTGCCCAGCACCAAGACTGACAGTGTGCCACTGTCAAAAGCAAGGGTAAACAAATCAGGCTGCAGTCATAGAATCATTGAATCAACCAAGTTGGAAAAGACCTTTAAGATCATCCAGTCCAAACAGTAAGTTCTGAGACTATAAATCCCAGCATCAACGCTCAACTGTGATGCACATGTCTCAACATGTTGCGAACTAATTGCCGATGGGCAGACTGAGGGAACGTGATGGCAGCATGTAAACTGTCCATTACTTGGGCATTGCAAACAAGGCCTCCATCAGATTTTCTATGGCTTCAGCATCTGCATTTCAACCACAGATGGAAGAAATACTCCTTCTCTAGAGCACAGGCTGTGGGTATTCAACTTCAAACTGGCCATCTACATTTCTGATTCCAATGGAGACCATAAAACAGTGCCACCCCCTCCCCCAGTGTGCCAGTCAGCACCCACCAGATCCACAACCACCTTCAGAGAAATCAACTAAAACCTGATATAACGACAAGTGATAAGACCTTTTAACAAACATTTGGTGATCCACTGAACCAAAGAGACTGTGTCCTGTAAGCAGATGGTCAACAAACAGCTCCAAGCTTGTACAGGCCTCATCATCTTGCACTAGTCAAGCTGAAGGAGGTCACATTTTCAGTCTGATAATTTTACGCAAAATGAATAAGCTCTATATGTGAGGGAGGACAGAAGAGAAGAAATAAACGAGGCAGCTCAAATGGGATGGGAACAGCCTGCAACTGCATGATTAAGAAGAAATCATAGTGCTTGCTGAGATGGTTAATCAGCCGATTAAGGACACAGGTACTGCTTCAACCTGGGCATTTTTGACCTCTGAGTGCCTGCTGTTCTAACCTTGACTTCTCACTCTGTGCAACGCAATAAAGAACAGCTTGCAGGTCAGTCACTTACACAACGGGCCATGAGAAGGGATCCTAAAGCACATCTAATTTCACTTTCCAGAATATTTTTGTAAGGACGTTCCCAGTACTGTCATCTTGATGATGAAGCACACAGTGATGCTATTCACAAAAGCTACCAACTAAGTCTACACAAACAGAACTACTGCCTGTAGAAATATTGCATTAAGAATGAACAGAAACCCAAGCCCACACCATTCAGTGCTTCAGTAGCAAAAGCCAAACTTGGAATTCAGTTTTGGAAACTCTGAACACCAAGTTAAGCTAGGTGAAACTGACAGGAGAAAAAGCAGGACAGAGCAGAAACATAGCAAGACACGCTGAAATGAGAACGGCAGCACACACTAAAGCGTATTACTGATTCAGAGCTTTACGATGGAGGGACATGGAGCCTGGTACTAATTTAAATTCAGAGTAGCTGAAAACTGAACAGGAGTCACTACCACCTCTCCTAATCCACGTCCTACTTGGAAACCCCAGGGAAGGTTGGTTTCAGGCCAGGTCTGCAAACCCATGAGCACATTCACCTCCAGGAACTGCCAGGCACCTTCCAGTAACCACTGGGGCATCCAGCATTACCAGAGCCCGCCTGCACCTGCTCCTCTGTAGCGGTGGCAGCACACTGGGACACAGGAAGGGCCCCCAACCCCATCAACTTCCTCACCATGTTGGCTTCATGTTAGCACCGTGGTTTGCCGAGTTCCTTCCTGTACGCAGCTTCTGTGGAAGGGAAGGACACAAAGGGAGGGGAGGCTAGAGCTGCCTGCCAGGCAAGGCCAAGGCAGGGGCAGAGCAGCCCTGCCCACGGGGCTGTCCTTGCTAAGCCCAGCTCCTAGAACTCTCCCCACGCGGGGGTCGAACCTCCTGCCCCAGCTGTACTACATAAGAGACTTGCACACCCGAGTGTCCCCCCGCACACATCACAAACACGAAGACCGCGCCTAGATCCCCGCTCCCATGGGCCCGTCCCTGGCTCCACCCCGGCACAGCCCTCGGTCCCTCCACCTCACCCCGATCATTCACAGGGCCGCGCCTGTGCCCCCCTCTCCCCGCAGGGCCAAGCCGGACTCCCCCTGCCTCAATGAGACCGCACCGGGCCCTCCCGTCTCCCCTCAAGGGGCCGCGCCCGACTTTCCCCTCACGGCAACGCGCCAGGTTCTCGCTCCCTCCCCGCGCGGCTGCATGCCCAGCTCAGTCCTCTGCCGCCCGCCCTTCAGCCTGCCCCAGGCCACCACCCGCCGTGGCTCACCGGGCCGGCTCTGCCTGCCCAGCCCGGGGCTGGCGACACCGAGCCCACAACACCGCCGCCGCCGCCCGCTCCCCACCGTTCGAATCAACAACAAGATGGCGGCGCCCGAGGAGGCGGGGCCCCGGCGCTGGCCGTCATAGCAACCGCCCCGCCCAAAGCCGGCCCCCGCCTCTTCAACCAATCCTGAATGGAGCCCCTCCCAAAGGGGGAGCTCCGGGCATCCTGATAGGTTGAGCTTGCGGTCATTCAAGAGCAGAGCCTCCCCGTCCCTTTCCGTGAGCGGACGGCCTCCTGATGGCCTCGCACGTTAGGCACACGTGACTTCCCCCAGGGCCCCGCCTCCCCTAGGGCTGCTCCGTCCTATTGGCTAGCCGCGGCGGGGGGGGCGCGATCCGCCAATGGGCGCCGGCGGCCCTGCGAGGCGCGGCCTGCTGGGGGCGCTCTGCCCGGGCCGGGTCTCGGGCTATGGCCGTGCCTTCCCCCGGGCCTCGGGCAGCGCTGCAGAGCCGCTCGGTGCGGAGCGTCCTGCGGAGTTCAGCCGGACTAAACCCCGCTTCCCCCTCTGCGGCCTGTCCCAAGACAGCTCCTCCGCTGGGCTGCGCCCGGAGCTTGCTCACCGCTCCGGCGCATTAAAGGGCTTAACTCCCGAACGGTCACGGTTCCTTTGGGCTCAGGATGCGGGAGCCTCGGGCAGTCTCACACGCTGACCCCTCCTCGCTATGAAGTTTCACGGCTGGCTACTGCTCCCTCTCCCTCCCTCCCGTCACCCCCTCCCCAGTTTAGTCTCTCTCCACTTTCCCGCCAGCGCTTCATTTCCCGGGAGCTGCCGCGGAGGCACCCCGCGGCGCGCTCCTTTGAAATTCAAAGAGCGGGTTTCCCACCTTCCCGCGCTGCCCGACCCCAGAGCGTTCAAAGCGCGGTTCGCCGGGCCCTGCTAACTGCTTCAGCGTGTCACGCCTACCTGCCTGTGCACTAATTCACTTTTCCTCCCAGTTAAGAAAGCCAGCGGCTCCACCTCCGACCAGCTGCTCCTGGGAGCGCTGGAACAAGGGAGAGCTTGAAGGAGATACGGGACACGGGGCAAAAGTTTCTCAAAATCAGCCGGGATTCCATTTTCTTGCCCCAGATCACGTCTCTGTGGAGGTCTGCCCCAGCTGGATCACATCCAGAGCCTACAGAGGCGCTGCCGTGACCGGAGCAGACCCTGCCAAAGCCCTTGACACGTGTATCTCAGTGCAAACCCCAGCCTGAGGGCGGTGCTGCCCTAGCTGCTATCCTCGTCCTGACTGCAGACGGCAAGACAGCCGCCGGCGGAACTGCACTGCCCCAGCACTCCCGACGGCAATCACAGCAGCGAGTGCAGTCTCTACCACTGTTTATTAGGCCTGCACTGGCTCTGGGGCTGCACAGATCCACAGAGGAGGGATCCCGTCCTTCTCCCGGGCCCCAAAGCCACACCAGTGCTATGGCTGCCATGGCCCTCGGGGAACTGTGTATCACAGGGAGCCCCTCACCAAGTCAATCCTCTCAGATCCAGCGCCGTGCCCCAGTCTTGCTGTTGAAGAGATAGTCCCTGCCAGTGCCTGAGTTGGGAGGCAGCACTCAGCAGTTGCCCCATGAGTGCTGCCCACACATCACTGCTCATCCCCCAGACCCCTCTGCCCTGAGAGATGCAGCCCAAGAATGCCAGGGCCATGGGACAGGGCACTCACGAGGGTCCTGGGCACGGCCATCAAACTGCTCCTGTGGAGTAGAGATGGGAGAGAATGTTGAGGGGCCCCAGGGCTCCCTCCTGCACCCCCAGAGTGGCACGTGCCCTTACCACCATGGCACACACTTACCATGCTGCTGGCATGGGAGCTGCCCTGCTCCCCCTCATCCCCCTTCTGCTCCACCACATCCCAGGGGCTGCAGAGGGTAGAGGAAGGCAAGAGCATGCTGTTGGTGATGGGCCCCTGGCCTTGACCCTGACGGGTGCTGCTGGAAGCAGGTTGCCAGCCAGGCTTTGCACTGCCAGCTGTGCCCCATCAGCCCATCATCCACCTACCTGATGGTCCCCTTACCCAGCCCATGTGTCCCCTGGGCACTGAAGGGGACTGCGGCAGGGGCTGTGCTCCCGAAAGCACCACCACCTTCAAGTGGTGCTAAAAAGCAGCAAGCGTGTCCACCACCACATCTGCTTGTTTCCCCATGTGCTGGCATGCGCCGATCTTGTGCTCGGGGGATGCTGTGCTGGGGGAGCTGCAGCCCTGAGCCCAAGTGTTCTCTCCTGCATGGCCACTACACCTCCAGTGGCACCCAGCACTAGAGCCCCAAACTGACTAATGAACACGGACCCAGCCATGCATCATCCTGAGGCAGTTTTGCCATGGAGGAGGCTGTTATCCTCCTCCTCTCTGTGCAGGCGCCTGACGCTTGCTGGGCTGGCTCCAGTCCTCCTTGGGCTCTCCCCTCCATCTCCCGTCACTCCTCATTCATCCTCCCAGGGGTTGCAGAGTGCACACCTCTTCCCGGGAGTTTTCCATGTCAAACTGGGGCTCCCCTGGTGAGCTTCAGTGGGCCCAGCTTGGTGGTGGGACCCAGCACTGTGTCATCCCACCCTGCCCACTGCAGTTTGTGCCCCAGTCTAGCCACCACCACCATGGCTGTCCCATGGCCAAGGTGTATTCACAGCTCTCATCAGTGCTGCACCCTTGCTCTGGGCAGAGATGTCTCCCCAGCACAGCAACCCATGGACCATAGCCAAATGCAGTGCACGTTAAACACCCGCTATGTGCTGTGTCTGCTCAGCTGCCTGTGGGGATGCTCTGGGAGCCTGTGCCAACATGAATGGCTGCCTCTCCCTGGTACAACTGCCCTGGCCATGCAGCACCTACCTCTTGCCCAGCCGCAGCTTGCCAGGGACTCGATTGCTGTGGGAGGAGCAGAAGGCAGCTGTGAGCCCCTGGTCTTGCTCTCTGTGCTGTGCCATGCCATACCATGGGACTGGGACTCACCTGCACAGCAGGCTCCGGGCCATGCAGCCCAGGGCAGCCAGCAGCAGGGCACCAGAGACAGTCAGAACAGCCACGAACCAGGCTGGTGGGTGCCACACTGCCTCCACCCGTGTCACAACCAGAAGTTCCTTCAGCGGTGTCTGTGGATGTGGTGGGGTGAGGGGACTCACGAGGGCCAGGGGGCCTCAGGAGCCTGGGAGCACCGCCTGCATTGGGCTCTGCTCACCGTGCGCTGAGTCGTGGTGCTGGGTGGCACCGGTGTGCTCCGGGGGGTGATGTGCACCACCAGTGCCACCACAGTGCTGTGGCGGGAGGTGCCGGAGCCGCCACCCCACACCTCCACCAGCAGCACAAAGGTGCGGGGCTCAGGTAGGTTATTGGGGAGGTACAGGACGGTGTTCCCCTCCAGCTGAAAGCGCCCATCCTCGTTGCCTGGACAAGAGTGTCTGCTCAGTGCCACACTGCAGTAAGGGGCTGGGTTGTGCTGTGGCTTGGCCGCCCCTCACCTCCAGCAATGTTGTATGTCAGCGTGGTACCACCACGGCTTCCCTGGCATGCTAGGCGGGTGACAGGCTGGCGGCTACCTGACCTGGCTATGACCCACAGCTCCTGCACCTCGGGGATGCACACCGGCGCCTGGTCCAGCACAGCCTGCTGGGAGCAGGGGAGGTGGAATGGCACCACAGGGCTGGCTCCCACCACAGCTCACCAGAAGGGCTTTCACTCGCACCTGCACATGTACAGTCACAGCGCACAGGCAGCTCCGCTGCTTTGCCGGGTCCAGGTCATTGCGGGTGTCTGTCAGCCGCACCGTCAGCCGGTAGCTCTTGCGCTGCCGGGAGTCGAGGGGTCCCACCACACGGATCTCACCTGCAGGGCAGCAGGAGCTGCTGGGTGCCATGGGGTGCAGTAGGCTTTGGGGGAAGGGGACGGGTGCTCACCAGTGTGTACATCGATGGAGAACGGCTGCTCAGGACCAGGGCCCCCCTCCAGGCTGTACTCAAGGCTGTCTGGTGGGTAGTCACGGTCAGTGCCAGCGATGAGTCCCACAGCACTGCCGAAAGCTGCTGTCTCTGGCACGGTGAAGGTGGTACCATTGGGGCACACCGGTGTGAATTCATTGACGGGTGTCAAGGTCACGAGCATGGGCACACGGGCTGTGTGGCACACGGTGTCTCAGTCCCACTGGCACCATCCCACAGTCCACACTGGGCTGGGTGGGCTCTGCCCTGGGCGAGATCCTCCCTGGGCAGGCTCAGGGACATGGGAACAGTGGCATCCCCCTGGGCAGCAGGGAGGAATGCTTCCTCTGTGATCTGTGGGGTTTAGGGCCAGAAGAAGCTCTTCCCTCCTTCCCCATGACCCTTCCATGGATACAGGCACTCACTGCTCCGTGGGGGCTGTCCTCCTGCTGTCACCACGATGGTGGCTGTGAACTGAAAGCCCACAGTGGCCACAGCCTTCGAGTCATAGTCCAGGGTGGTGCTGACCTGCCGAGCCAGGGCAAGGGGTGTCAGGCAGAGCTCAGGTGCCCTGCAAAGCTGGGGTATGCCACAAAGATGAAGGGAGCAAGGGGGGAAATCATAGAATGATTTCTGTTGGAAAGGACCTTAAAGCTCATCCAGTTCCAACCCCTTGCCATGGGCAGGGACACCTTCTGCTAGAGCAGGTTGCTCCAAGCTCTGTCCAGCCTGGCCTTGAACACTGCCAGGGATAGGGCAGCCACAGCTTTGCTGTGAAACCAGGCCTTGGGGAGCAGGGACCCCAGGACACCCTGGCCTGGGACCTGGTGCGGCAGCACATCCTGTCAGAGGGTCCCCACTGTCCCACTGGGCTCCCCAAGTCTGGGCTTGCTGGGCACTGGGTGCTGTCCATGGCCCTGCTCACCTGCAGCTGTGGCCCCTCCATGCGGAAGTGGGATCGGGAAACAGGGGGCCCCTCGAGGGCATAACGCAGGCACCCCTCAGCACCTTCACAGCCAGTGCACCTCAGTGTCACCAGGGTGCTGCCAGGGAGCTCTGTCTCAGGCACCTGGGACCTGCAGTGCGGCAGCCAGCAGCTCAGCTCTGGCCCCATGTTGTGGGTATGGCAGAGCATCCCCTTTGCCCACTCTCATCCCAAACCGTACACGAAGATGGCTGGGACACAGCTCAGCTCCTGCTGGTCCGTGCCCTGCACGGTAATGTTGAGTATGGTGGTAGCATGGTCATCAGGGTGCAGTGCATTGTAAGCCTGAACCAGGAGTTGTTCCTGGGCCACCTCCAGCTGGCGGGTGCTGTGGATCTTGCCTGTCACTGCGGGACAAAAAATGGCTTTGCACCAGGCATGGGGATGGGGAAAGGGTGGCCCTGGGGACTGCCACCACTCCACTCACTCTCATCGATGGTGAAGAACGTGGGTGCCGTGGGTGCAAGGATGGCATAGCGGACATTGTCACCGCTGGCACGGACCTGTGTGACCACCTCCAAGGGCCCAATGACACCTGGCACCGTCACAGCCTGCTGCGGCTCACTGGAGGCAAGGTGGGCAGCATGGCATGGCCTGATGCCACCAGCACCCACCACCTGGCCCAGCCCTACTCACAGGAAAGAGACACAAGGACGGCACGATGGCAGAACCTCCACCCTCACAGCTCCACTGCAGTTGTGCCCTTTGCTGTCCATCACCTCGATCTCCAGCCTGAATGTCTGTGGGGTAGTGCCAGGGTGGCCGTGGGACGGCACCAAGTGGCACCAGGGATGGAGATTGAGACAGGGATAGGAATGGGGATAAGGACAGTAATGAGGACAGGAACAGGGACAGAAATGGGAAAAGGGAAGGGGACAGACACAAGAATGGGGGCTTGGAGTGAGAACATGGGTGGGAACAGGGATGGAGATGAGGATAAGCTGGAGACTTGAATGGGGACAGAAACAGGGAGGTGGAGAAGGACTGGGACAGGACTCAAAATGCAGAAGGGGCAAGAGCCAGAGAACAGGTTGGAGCACTCCTGGGATCAGAGGGAGACAGGAGCCCAATAGAAGGAGCAGGGTGCAGAGAGCTGAGAGCTACAGAAAGTGCCAGCTAGGGGCTAAGCCTTTGTGGGCTGGGAGGTGGCTGTGACAGCCTGGAGATGCTGGTGCCCACCTGGGTGCCCTTGCTGGGGTCAAAGCCACCGGCAGGTGCCAGCACCAGGCCCTGGTCGGTGAGCACGAGTGGTGTGTTGTGGTTTCGGAGTCTGAACTGCAAAGAGATGGGTGGTGGGAGCCCCTGTCCCCCTCCTCCATGCCTGGGGTTTCGGTATCCCCAGGGCTGCTCCCGCCTGTGGAAGGTTGTGGCCCCCAGGGCAGACCCCACTCACCGTCAGCCCGCCGAGTGGCTGTGGCATCACAGCATACAGGGGTGTCCGAGGCGCCACATCTGCCAGCACCCGCACCACATCTCCCGCTGCAGCACAGCATGGCCGTGGAAGCACAGCACTGGCCAGCACCAGTGGCCCCCGCCACCCCGTACCCCCCGGCTCCTACCTGTGCTGGTGAATGGGGCATTACAATGCAGCACCTGCCCCCCTTTCACCCACACAAAGAGCTGCTTTTCCACCTCGTCCTCACCAGGACAAGTGGCCCGCAGGGTCAGGGTGTACATGTTCATCCAGTGGGCATTGAGCTTCGCACCAGCACGCAGCGTCACCTGCTGTGGACACACAGTGTTCAGCAGGGTGCCCAGGGGCATCTGTCCCACTCCCCGCCCCTCAGCAGCACCTCTACCTGAAATGTGGTGTTTGCCATGGGGTCAGTGCTGCTGGTAATGAGGCTGAAGGGGTGGCTGGGCTCAGTGCCATGCAGGGTTACGTTGGGGCTGTCACTTGTGTTGCTACAGGACACGGTCACCTCAGCCACACTAGTGCCCGGCACTGCATCCTCACTCAGGGTCACCATGCAAGGCAGGTCAAGCAAGGCTGGTAGGAGACCACAGAGGCCATCCTTACACCAACAGCTCGCCCAGCCGTGCTTAGGGAGCTCTGCACTTGCACCCAGGCACCCATGATGGCATGGGTCTCCTGGGCAGCACCCAAAGCACCCCACTCTTACCTGCTGCTCTGACGAAAGTCCCTGCAAAAAGGAGATTGTCACCCCAGCCTGCCTGGTGTGTCCCAGGGCACCCCAAAGATGCCTCAGAGGTGCATGGATATGCCCCAGTGATGTCCCCAGGATACCCCAGTAATGCCCTGGTGATGACCCAAGGATGCCCCCACCCCACCTGAACCTGGCCACGGAGCTGCCGGCTCCTCTGCTCACCCTGGAGTTAGCCCCCATAGGGACAACCGAGGGGAGCCTGTCTCCTATCCCTCCCCTTTTGGTCCCACACCCAGAGTTTGGCAAAGGGTGCCCCTGACGCTGTGAACCTAAAGTGCCTACCTGGGGCACAGAGGCTGAGGAGGAGGAAGGTGAGGCGTCCGTGCATGCCCATGGCTTGCTGGCTGTTTAGGACAAGCTGCAGCCCGTTGCCAGGGGTGCTGGGCACCACCCGGCCCAGCGTCACCGCGGCCACCCGCGAACAGCAGCCCGGCCCCGGGGCAGGGACAGGGCACAGCCCCGGTGCCCCGAGCTTCCCCACTGCCTTTCGCCATCCCCGGCCGGTGCTGGGTAGGAGGGCAGCGATGCTCCGTGGGGTTTCGCTGCTGTATCACGCTGCCTCGCCATTCAGCGCGCTCGGGACCCGAGAAAATTAGCTGGGAGGTAATTTTTGGCCGTGTTCTCCTTCATTTGCAAACCAGAGCCGCTTCTCCCGGAATTCCTATTAAGCGCTATTAGTTCCAAATTAATAGGCTCTGGCGGAGCGCGGCCCCTGCGGCCGGGGTCACCTTTCCCTCCTCCGGTACTCAAATCCATTTCGGTAGCCCGGGAGCCACGGGAGCCTCAGCCGGGCCCCTGTAACGGGGCTGCCCTCCTTCCCGCCGAGGCTCCCGGGACCCCTGGCGCTGGGGTGCTGCTCGACTGGTGCCCCCACTCCTGCCTCGCCCGGCGGTGCCCGGGTGGTGCTGGCGCGGGGCCCCGGGGCGGCGGGGAGGGGCGGGGCCCCGGGGCGGCGGTGCCGGTGCCGGTACGGGCCGGGCTCACGTTACGGCAGCCTCATTGGCTGCGGCGGGGCGGGGCAGTACCGCCCAGGCAGCGCCGGGAGGCGGCGGGGACGGGCGCGCTCCGCTGCTGCTGCTCCTCCGCCGGCACCGGAGGGACCGGGAGAGGGAGCGGGACCGGGCCGGGCCGGGCCGGGCATGCACAGCGCCCGCCAGGAGACCTGCCCGGGACAGCTCGGCGCCGAGCGGGTGAGTGCTGCCGCGGGCGCCGGGAGGGGACGGGGCAGCCCCGCCGGGGCATCTCCGTGATGTCAGGGTGTAGCCGGTGACATCAGTGCAGTGACATCATGGCGAGGCCCAGGCGGCGGCGCGGGGGACGGGGGTGACCGCGGGGTCGCGGGTGGCCGTGGGACGCGGTGTCCAGCCGTCAGGGTGCTAGCGGCACGGTCCCCCCTGCGCGGCCACTGCCGCCCAGCTGGGCTGCCCTGCGGGACAGGCGGTGACAGGGTGGCCCAGCCGGCTCCCCTGGGCCTGCCGCACGCCTGCCCGGCTCCCCATCGGCCGGTGCGACGGCGTCCCCGGCCAGCGCCGGGACAGGGCAGCCCGAAGAGGTGGCACGTCGCCAGTGGGGCTGGCTGGGAGGGTTCCAGTCAGCGGGGAGGGGGACAGGAACTGAGACAGGGACGGGGACAGGGACAGCCCGGCCAGCAGCTCCGTTGGTGTCGGCCAAGGGAGACGGGTTTACTGCTACCGGGGAGCGATCCCTCCTGCTTGCTCGGCTTCCCGTGGCTCCAGAGCAGAAAGGAAAGCGGACGTAACACACTGCTTTGGGGTTCAGACAATAGGAATTCAAGAGAGAGGAGCGGCCCAGCTGCAGGAGCCAGCCGCCCCTTCCAGCCCCCGTCAGGCCATACTCCGCTGGGCCCCGGCTCTCCGGCCCCCCACGCTCCCTGCCGCTGTTGAGGGTCCCTGGCCCTGGGCGCAGGCCTGGCTGCACCCTGACGTCAGCCGGGTGTCCCCGGCTAGAGGGCACAGGGTGGGAGGGGTGGCCCTGCCAACGCGTGGGGGGAGCGCCGCACCCCAGCATCCATGGGTGCCCCGAAGCTGCAGCCTGCCCTGTGCCACAGAGCAGGGTCTTGCACATGGGGTGTCCCCGCTGCCGCCCCACCGCGGGTGGGGGGGGGTTGAGGGGCCAGCTGGGGGGCAGTGGGGCGCCCGGCTCCTACGTGCCGTGGCCCTGTGTCATTTCCCGCAGGCACGGCCGGGGCTGGGTGCCTGCTTGCTCACCTGACATGCTGCTGCACGCCGCCTGGCTCCACGCAGGAGCAGCAGGAAAGCGGGGCCCGGGGCTGCAGGCAAGCTGGAGCCTGCATCCTGCTCCCCGCTGCGCGCCCGGCTCTGCCAGCAAAGCCCACCTGATTCGGGGCTGGGGGCACAGGGGGCACAGGATGGGGGTCATAGTGCTGGCCCGGAGGGAGTGGGGACAAACGCACTGACCTGCCCTTTTCCCACCAGGGGTGCCAGCGGGAGGCCGGGGCAGCACCACGGGCGCACATGCACAGCACACGGCCAGCACCACATCACGTCGTTGGGCCCCCCCGTGCCCCATGCCCCCCGCGCCCCGGCTCGGCGGCGGACTCAGCCTGCAGCCTGGAGGCAGGGGGTGAGGAGGAGGCGGGGGGGGGCCCGGCCACCCGCTCCCCCCCAGCCAGCGAGCGCAGCCTGGAGTTCGACTCGGGGTATTCGGAGGCGTCGGGAGGCACGTGGCGTGAGGAAGAGGCTCCGGTGCGGAGGCGGCACCCGCTGCCCTGCCAGCGCGCACACCGGCTCTCGGCTGGCCCCGCCGCCCCCCCGCCCGCCCCCGCCCGCCGCATCCGCCCCAAATCCACCTCGGACGCCTGCCTCGAGCACTGGCGGGCACTGGAGCCAACCGACACACAGGACTGGACCGTGGCGCTGCTGTCACAGAGCCGGAATCGACAGCCCTTAGTGCTGGGTGACAACTGCTTTGCTGACCTGGTAGAGAACTGGATGGACCTGCCCGAGGTGGGCACTGAACCTCGGCGCCGAGCCAGTGCTGAGCCCTCCCGCCGGCTGGCCAAGCCTCCTGCCTTCCTGCTCAGCCTCTCAGGCAACGTGCGCCGTAAGCTGGCCAACATGGCCCGGCCTCGTGGAGCCGAGGGTGCCCGGTCAGGGGGCCGTGATGCCACCAAGCGTTTCTCCTGCCCGCTGGGGCTGGGTGGGCAGCCCAAGGGTGCCTGCTTCCACCAGTCCCACAGCAACATTGCCCAGCTGGCCACGGACTTCCACCGCTTCACTGCCCTCATGAACAGCCGCAGCCGCCAGCCCATCATCTGCAACGACGTTATTGGCTACATTTAGCCCTGCCCGTGCCCTCCTCTGCTGTAAATAAACCCTGGTTTTGTACGGTATGGGCGCAGCGATGTTTATCGAGCGGGGCTGCCTGCACACCACCTCAAGGGCCAATGCATCCTGAGGCTTTTATTGCAGGGGGTCGGGGATGCCAGCCCTCCCTCAGGGTAGGAAGCACATGAGAGGGGGACGGGTAGCTTCAGTCTCAGCATCCTCTTCCTCGCACACATACTCCAGCTTCAGCACCCGCTGCTGTGGCTCCCCGGCATTTTCCAGGGTTGCTGATAACCTGTAGCAGGGAAAGGGGGTATTGGGGTTCTCTTTTGCCCCCCCTTAGGCTGGCTTGGTGCCCCAGGGGAGCCCTAGGACCCTCTGGGGCACCTCGCCTGGCCAGGCTGGGGGGATGTAGGGGCCGGCAGTGAGGGGCCGGGCAGGGGTCCCGCCATGGGAAGTGCTGCCGGCAGGATGTTTATCCAGCAGCTGGCTGGGAGCTGCACTGCAGCTGGAGCAGCTCAGGATGGAGGAAGATGTGTCTGGCAGCACCCCCAGGGCAGGACTGAGCCTAGAGCTATGCACCTACCTCTGTTTCTGCATCAGGGCTCGTATTCCTTCATTCTCCCCGCTGTCATAGAGTACAGTGAAACCATGCAGGAGCATGGTCACGGTCCAGCCATGTGTCCTCTGCAAGAGGTGGGTGTCAGGATCCTGCCAGGGTGATCCAGTGGGGTGCTGGGTCCCACGCAGGGCTCACCTGCATCCAGTCTAGTATGTTCTGGACTGTCATCTCCTCCCCGTCTGCACTGACTGCCTGTATCTCCAGCCGGTCCCAGCAGCTCCACTCCCGCCCACAGTACTGCAAATGGGAGTGCAGGGTAGCAGCCAGCACTGGCACCCCACATCCTGGCTCCCCAGCCCCATAAAGCAGAGACTGATGGGGCATGAGGGCTGGGGTACAGCAGGAGACCAGTCTGAGGCAGGGGGACAGGGACACATGGTAGTCCAGAGGCAATGGGGGACACAACTGTCTTCCCAGCCCTGCTGAGATCCAGGGGTATGGAGGGGCACAGTCCTCCTCCTACCATTGTTGGGCCTGGGGGGCAACAGGAGCATGGCTATCATCCCCCCTGCCCAGCACCACCAGGGTCTAGGGACCCCAACATCACTGCAAGGGCCAGGGTTGGTGTGGGGCTGTCCCTGTCCCCAACCGCAGGCCAGGAAAAATGCACAAAGGGCCATTGAAGCGTTCCCCAGCCCCACACAATCGCCTCTTCTCACGCCTTCTTCCCCCCTCCCTCCCCTGCAGAGCCCAGCTCCTGCCCAAGGGGGTCAGCGAGGCATCAGCCCTGGGGCCAAGTGCCGGATGCAGCCCCATGTGTCTGGCACAGCTGCGCTGCCATCTGCCCTAGCTGCGGGCAGCACCAGATCCGGCCTGGCCCTGGCCACAGCCCCTCTCGAGATGGGGTGCTCACACCTGGCTGCTTCCCTCCTGCCTCCTGCTGCCTTCTCACCTTCTGCCTTCTGCTGCCTTCTCACCTTCTGCTGCCTGCACTTATCCCACCAGGGTGGAAAGAGTTTAACCCCATCCTCACCAGGGCAGCGACTGCCCAGCACAGAGGAGACACCACTGTCCGTCCCGGCACCCCAGAAAGTGCATCCATCTCAGGTGGGCTCCCCAGGCCGTGCAGGACCGCAGGTCATGTCACACAGGCCTAGGAGACATGTGCTCCCACCATGGCTAAGCAGACGGACACAAACCATCCTGCCGAGGGTCACAGAGGTGCCGGGTGCTCTCCAGGGACTTGAGGGCATGGGCAGCACCAGCAGCATCCTCCACCCGGGGATGGTGCCAACGCCGGGGCATGGCAGCCACGCTGCAGCAGGCTGGGCAGCTGGTGGAGTGTGAGGGGGCTGTGGGGCAGCCTGAAGCAGTGCTAGAGCTGGCGTAAGGCAGTGGATGTGCCTCCCTCCCCCTCTTCCTGCCCCCGGCCCTGGGCCTCCCGGGCCAATCTGGTTCCAATCGGCGCTTCCTGCCATGCCGGAAGGGCTGCCTCGCACGCCATAAACCCCCAGACAAAGGGGCCTCTATTGCCCAGACGGTCCCAATCTGGCCCTGCCCCGGCCCCCACTCTCCCCCTGGCAGAGCGGCTGCGGCCTGGCCCCCCGCCATCAGGACCCCCGGCCCCGCTCCCCCCGGACAGCCCTTCCCGGCCCGGTGCCAGCTGCGCTCTGGCTGCTGCAGCTGGTTTCCATAAGCCAGATGTGTACAGCTGCTGTGGCCCCCTGGCTGTGGGGCTCATCATGGGGCCCACTGCGGGGCAGTGGGGCTGCCTCAGCCCCATGGACACCCCAGAGTGTCCCAGTTGGGCCCAAAGCCGGGGCAAGTGGGACAGTGGCAGCCACTTTGTTCTGGGGGGCAGACACAGGCAGGAGCTGGTTCCTCACTGCCTGGCAATGCGCCCAGGCTGTTGCAGTACCTGAATCCATTTCTGGAGCCCCATGGCCAGGGCTGTCCCTCTTGCATGGCCTTGCTCCTAGGTCCCCTTGACATGGCCCCACATCAGCTGCCACTGAGAACTGGGGCACCCCAAGACCCCTGGGTGCCCCCCCCCCGACCCCGTCCTGCCCTGGGGAAGAAAGACCTACCCAGTAGACAGAAGATGGCGGGGGCTGGAAGCGGAGCAGCAGGCAGTCAGACAGGGAGAAGTTGCTGTTGCGGTAGCAACTGAGGTCCTGGCACCCCCACACCAGCTTGTAGACCTCCAGGCACGCCAGCCCAGCCACGGCCGCTGTGGTGGTGATGATGGCAGGCACGATCCGCCCTGTGATCTGCTTGCTCTGAGGACAGGAGGGGTGTTACTGGCTGCCCTGCACAGGATGGGGACCCCTGCACAGGCAGGGATCCCCATGGGTTACCCATCTTACCATCAGCCAGCTGGCGGCAGGGATGCTGTAGCTCTCTGCACGCAGGTTCGATGCTGCTGTGATAAAGTCTATGTGGATGTCATTGTCCTGTGGGGAAGAGTATGGGGAGATTAGCATCCCCTGGGGACACCAACCCCCAGGCTGAGCAGGGCTGCCTGCACAGCCCTGGGTACCTTCTCAAAGTGGATGGGCTCCATCAGGGGCACTTGTGCTTCTTCACCCCCTATCAGCTCCTGTCACTGCTGCCCCAGGTCCCGGGTGAGCTCTTCCAGTCTCTTGTCATCTGGGGGCACAGGGACCCCAGGGGTGGTACCCTGGCACTGTGGGGGCTTGGCAGGATGCCCCCTCTCAGTCTGAGTGCTGGGGCAGGGATGAGCAGCACTGCAGCCCCACTACCACCAGGCTGGACCTGGGAGCCTGGGGACATGTCCTGGGGGACCCAGGGAGCCTCACCTGCCAGCACCTCCTCCTGCTCCTCTGTGAAGTGGATCTGGAATCCCTCCTGCGGCACGAAGGGTGGCAGGACCACACTGCGGAGGACAGTCTGGGCGGATGCACGGTCGCTGCATGGTGGTATCTTGTGTGACTGGGCAAAGAGGTGGGCAGCAGACATGATGTACTCCAGGTGGGTGTCCTGTGGGGCAGAGTGGGGGCCACGGAGTGCCTTGTTGGGGTGGTTCACAAGCCCACACAGCCAAAGACTGCCTGCACTGCCACTGTTGCGCAGAGCAGCCTGGCTTTGCCCTGAGGTAGACATGGAGGTGCCTCTCCTCCTCCAGACACAGAGCACACATGGGCTGTTCCCAGAAATGCCTCCACTGACCAGGAGACAAGGACAGACCCAGCCCAGGGCCTGGCAGCCCCAGGTGGGCTGTGGCAGGGGGAGCACAGCCACAGTCAGGCATGCACTGTACCCCCCGCACAGGTTCAACTGTGTCCCTGCCCGCGCTGTCCCCAGCAGGGACCCCACAGCTCCCCTTTGCACTCACATTGTCAGGGTTGAATATCAGTGGATGGGGACAGGTCCTGTCCCATGCCCAGAAGGGGACACCCGGCCTGACTTCCTGGCACAGAGAGGGCAGTCAGGCCCTGGGATGCTGCAGCAGGGTGGGCAGCGCAGGGCAGGTGATGCTGGGGGTGCCAGCCCCATGGGCACTGTGCTCACATGCTCCGGGGGGAAGGTGTGCAGCAGCTGGGCAACGGCATCATGGCAGCAGCTCTGCCAGTGCCGGCGGGCCCAGCGAACGCAGTCCTGCCAGTCCCGTGGCCGCTCCTGAAGGCTCCTCCACACTTGTTCCAGGACCTCCACGGCCTTCCCTGTTGGCAGCTGCTCTGGGAAAGCCGGATCTCTGCAAAACCAGGCACCACTGCCGCTGGCCTGGGAGCAATCCCACAGGGCACCCAGGTGGGGCACGGTGGTCTGTCCCCTTCTCCCCATCCTCTGGCAGCCCCTCCCCTGGCACCACTCCCCCAGGCCCACTCACTCCATGAAGTGATTGACATGCTCCGCAGGCAGCTGGAAAAGCCCCTCAAACTCATCACGGGCCCACTGTGGAGGGGGAGCAGGTGTTGAGTACTGGGACTCCACAATCACGTCACCCCCATCCGAAGCCCAGGGGGAGGGAGAGGCCATGCTGGGGCTGGGGCCAGCGGTAAAGCTTGCGCTGCCAGCAGGAAGCAGCTGGGGCCATATCCTGCGCGTGGCCCACTGCTGGGAAATGGGAAAGGAAGACAAAGGTCCCGGTGCTTCTCACTGGGTGCTGGTGCTGGTGTGGCACAGCCTACCTGCAGTGTGTGCTGGATGGTGTGAGGGAAGTACCGGAGGGTGCAGACAGGGAAGGTGTCATCCTCAGGGGCAGCAGCCGGCCCCAGCAGCTTGGTCAGGTGGGGCACCATGGCCAGTACGTTCCCCCGTGGTCCCTCCGTACCCGAGTCCAGCAGTGGCGTGAGGTAGCGGAAGCAGCAGCTCTCCAAGTAGGCACCTGCAGGGAGCCAGGGGTGCTGGGGAGCTGGAGGGCATGTCCAGGGGCCTTTTACCCTTCTCAGCACTCACGTGCCTCCAGTGTGTCCAGGGCACTGGCAACACCATCCAGGTGCCGGAAGAAATCATCCCTGTAGAGCATCTCGGTGGCAGGTCCCACCTGATTCTGATGAGCTGTCACTCTGATATCGGGGTTCATGCGCCGCACAGCCGCTGCAGCCACCACTGACTTTGGCTTCTGCCCAGGCAGAGAGAGAGAAGGTGGGCAGCTCTCCCCACCCCACAGCCCAGTGGGGCCAGCAGGACAGGCAGGGTGCCCTCTGGGGGGAGCTCGGCCACCGCATCGAGGTGCCTCACCAATACATCTGCTGAACGGTAGAGGAGCTGCCGATGGAGGTTGGAGAGGGCGACGGTGTCCATGTCAGTGACAGTGATGTGCCCCTCTGGCCCGGCCGCCAGCCCCATCATGGCAAAGTTTTTGAGCAGCTCGCAGCCGATAGCACCAGCTCCCACCTGCCGGGGCAGAGCCACTGCAGCTCCCCAGGTGCTGCTGCCTGCTCTGCAGCCTCTCCTGGTGCCCACCCCAGCTCACCACCAAGTACTTCTGGCGGCCCAGCAGCTCTTGGAATGCGGCCCCGAAGACGGCAATCTGCCCATCATAGCGAGAGCCCCTCTATTGGGACGGAGGAGCTGCGTGAGCACAGGAGGCCGCAACACCCTGGTACCCAAGTCACCCTCTGTGTGTGCTCTCACCGGGACACAGTCCTCCTCTGTCAGCTGTGTGACCCCCTCCAGCGCCAGGCACTCAAGGGCATCGAAGTACAACCACTGGTCTAGGGGCAGGAACTTCCCAGTGATGGCCTGGGGCAAACGGGGCCCTATTGGTCCAGCTCCATGGCCAACAGGGTCCCCGGTCCCCATAAACCAGCCCAGCCTTGCTGCTCAGCCCAGTGTCCCCAGACAGGCAGCAAGTGCCCTCTCGTGGTCACCAAACACTGCAGAGCACGACCAGTGGGACCGCAGGGCCCGGAAAACCCCATCCCGCTCACCTTCAGGGCCTCCTGGGCTGCCACGGCCCCGACAACAGCAGCCACAGGGCACAGATCCCCTGCACTGACGCTTGCAAAGGCTCGCACGACGTCCTCGTCCAGGGGACCAGGCTGCACCGCCAGGCTCCACGCCAGCTCCAGCACCCGCTTGGCATCCACCTGCGGGCAGAGGGGTGATGGCAGTCCCAGGCAGGGTGGTGGGAGTCGGCAGGGTGGGCAGGGGCAGGACAGGGACTCACTGGTGCCCTGGGCCGGGGCAGGCGACCCTGCTCCTTACAGAAAGCGTGCAGGGCCTGGAAGGCAGCATGGAGGCTGCGGCTGCGCGGCAGCTCCTCAGGATTTGCCACTTGGATCTTCGGCTCTGCCAGTGCCTGGGACAGGGGCTTCTGACGACACAGCACCAGGGCTGAGGTGAGCACGTCAGCCAGGCTGGGGCATGGCAGGATGTGGCAGCACCATGGGACCAAGGGGGCACTTACATAGGAGCACACCTGGGGCAGCCGCACCTGCGAAACCAGGCCCCTGCAGCGGTAGCGCGAGAAGGACCTGGTGTCACCAATCTTCAGCCTGAAGGCATCTGGCGACGAGAAGGGCATGAATGTCATGGCCACCACCAAGAACCCAGCAAGTTTACCAAACCTGGGCCAGAGCAGCCAGGATTCCCTGGTGGCTCACCCATCACTTGCACGGGGACAGGCTCCAGGCCGTTCAGCTCCGTCATCCCCTCCACACCAGAAAATGTCACCAGGTCACCATCACTGAAGAGGTGGCCACAGCTGCCCTCCATCCCCGTGCATGTCACTATGCCCGGGTTGCCCGGAGGAGGGGAAGGGATGTGAGGTTGGGGTCCCGGAGGAAGCAGCAGTGTTCTGGGGGAGCCTGCAACAGCTGTTCTCCTACCTTGGAGATGTGCTTCACGGCAGCACATACCGGCTCCCCTTCTGCTGGGTCATTAATGATGAAGTGCTCCCCAAAGTCGCAGAACAGCTGCCTGGACAGGACAGATGGGGTTTTGCCAGAGGAGCCACCTCACCAAGCTGCCTGAGCACTGCCAGGTCCTGCCTGGACAGAGCAGTCATGCCAGTGGGATGGGGAGATGGGCTGCAGAGCAGGGCTGGGGACTCTGGGGTCAAGTTGACCCAGAGCCAGTGGCAGGACCCTGTATAGAGACCTCTTACCCCACCAGCCCCTTAGCGTCAGCCACGATGAAGCAGATGCCTTGGGCATGGCAGAAGTTCCCAATGCGGATCTGCTCTTCCAGCGGGGACTCGGTCAGCACCACCACGTGTGCCTGTGCTGTGAATGGGCTCTGCTGGAAGGAGGTGAGGAAGGCCTCTGACAGCTCCCCGGTGTAAGCCACCACTGCCACGCAGGGGTTCAGCTCGGCCAGGGCCCGCCGGGATGCCTCAGCTCAGTTCTGCCCTATGTCGCTCTCCCGCAGGAGGAACTGTGGGGTGGGCATATGGCGGGTTCGGGGTGCTGCTCACCACAGCAGAATGCCCCACAGGACCCTGCCAACGCTGGTGGGGGCCCTGTGATGAGGACCACACCTGTGATACGGGACACCTCATGGGCCCTACCCATGACAATGAGGGGGCTCCATGGGCCATAGCCATGACAGGGACCTCCCATCCCACATTCCTTACCAGGACCACGCGTATCTGGTACTGGAAGCCCCCTCACACCACACCCATGCAACAGGGATCCCCCAGCTGCACCTACATCCATTACTGTGAAATTCCCCCCACACCAGTACCTAGTATTGGGACCCTCACTGGTACCTGTACCCATCACCAGGGCCCCTGTCTGTACCCAGACCCATTATGGGGACCCCCATCCACACCTGTACCCATTACTGGGACCCTCGTCTGTACCCTACCCATTACAAGGACCCCTGCCCATGCCTATTACGAGGATCCCCACCCACACCTGCTCCCGATACCGGCACCCCCGTCCTCCCACCACCGAGACCCTCACCTGTACCAGTCCCTGTTACCGCCCCCCCCACCCGGCCCCGCCGTACCTGCTGGCCTCGGTCGGCTAGGGAAGCCTCTCCGCGGTCGTGCAACACGAAGCGCCCGGTCCCTGCCAGCACCAGCGCCGCTGCCACCTGCGCTCCTGTCCCGCGGAGCCCCGACACCAGCACCGCTGCCCCGGACAACCGGCGTGCGCCGCCGCCCAGCACGTACCTGCGGGGCACGGGCCGCCAGCGGGACACGAGGCGCGGGGACCCGCAGCCCCAGCCCCGAACCCGCTGCTCACAGCTGCCGCGAGTACAACCCCTCCTCGGCGCTGCCCGCCATGACGGCCCCGCCCGCCATACCGGCCCCGCCCGCGGTGCTTCCCGGCAGCCATGTCGGCGGGCTGGCAGGCGCCGTGGAGGGCGCTGGGTGCGCTGGGCCGGCAGCTGGCGGACGAGTGGGCAGAGCAGGACGTGCGGTCCGCGCTGTGCCAGTTGCTGCTGCTCTGGCTGGGGCTCAGCCTGCTAGGCGTGCTGCTGGCCTGGCGTGTCTACGGCGAGGCGGTGGCCGAGCTCTGCTACCGGACGGACCCCGCCGCCCGCCGCCCCCGCGGAACTGCCTCCAGCCCCGGGCCCGCGCGGCCCCACGCTCACTCCTTCTCCCCCGCAGGCCGGGCCGGACGCAACGGCGCTGCCGAGCGGCACTGCCTGCCCCGGTGAGTCCCGACCGACACCGGGCCCCGACCGCTTTCACCCCCGCGTCGCGGCCTCCCCGCCGCCCAGCCCGGCACCTCCGTGAGCCGCACCCCCCCCCAGCCCTGCATGCCCCCGAGTGTCCTCCGGGTAGTGCCACCGTACCCAGCGAACGCCCCCTCCCCGCGGCTGCATCCGCACACCAGTGCTCCCAGTAAATGCGGCCCCAGCCAGCCCTGCCCGCTGCCGGGGTGCTGCCCAGCCCTGCTCATGCTGCCCCTCTCTTGCAGGGACGGGCTGGCAACGGAGCCAGGGAAGACGCACCGGGAATGAGGACTGCCAAGACGGCTGGGCGCTGCCTGCACCATTAAAGCGCTGTGCTTCCCCTGCCACCCCTTGCTTTGGCACCTGCTGCCATCACCACAGAGGAGACAGGAGACTGGGGCAGGGACATTTATTGGGGCTGGGGCACTGTGCCCGCAGCAGGCGATGGCCTCACTTGGCCATGTAGTACTGGGTGGGCACGAAGGGCATCTTGGTGACGAGAGCCGGGTGCTGCTTCTTCCGCACCTCGACGGTGAGTGTAGTGCCAGCCCGGCTGTGCACTGCCTCCACGTAGCCCATGGCGATGTTCTTGCCCAGGGAGGGCGAGGGGCAGCCGCTGGTCACAGTGCCTGCGGACATGAGGACAGGGGAGGTGAGCAGGGGCTGGCAGACCCAGCACCCTCCCTTGCCACAGGCGCAGTTTGGGGTTATACCCACACAAGCCCCACTGCCCCACCCACCCACAGGAGTGCCCTCGGGGTCCAGGATGGCCATGTGGGGCCGTATGGGGGGTCCCACTGATGTCAGCCCCACACGCCTGCGTCTTGGCTTCTCTTTCACTTGTGCCATGATGATCTGTGCGCCAGGGAAGTCCATGGCTTTGCGCCGGCGCTTCCCTGTGGGGTAGAGACGGGGGAGGGTCTTTGATGTCTCCTGGTCCCCTTCTGCCCTGTTGGGGACCTGGGGACACCTCACCCCTCTGCTTGCCCCAAGGAGGAAATGGCCATGGCCACAGCCTACCCAAGGTCCACATCAGCCCGGCCTCAGCAGGTGTGGTGGTCTCGTCGATGTCGTTTCCATAGAGGCAGAGCCCGGCCTCCAGGCGCAGGCTGTCCCTGGCTGCCAGCCCTGCCGGCCACACGTCCGGGACACCCAGCAGCTGCTCAGCCAGTTCCACTGCCCGCCCTGCGGGCACTGAGATCTGCAGGGGACATGGCAGGGTCAGTGGGACATGGCTTTCCCCTCCCTTGGTGCCTCGGTACAGGTGCAGCTCCCAAAGTACCTCCACGCCATCCTCGCCAGTGTAGCCGCAGCGCGTGACCCGGCAGCCTGGCACGCCAAAGACTGTTGTGGTGATGCTATTCATGAAGGAGAGCTTGGCTAGGTCATCTGACAGCCCCGCCTGCAGCACCCGTGCCATGGAGGGACCTGGGGAGGCAGGTGTCTAGGAGATGGCAGTGTCCAGGGAAGGGTGGGATGGGAAAAGGGCACTGACATCCACTGGGCAAGGGCCCAGAGGAGGGCAGGCCCTTGTGGGCCCTGCTACCTTGCAGAGCCAGCAGAGCGTTGTCCAACACCTCCACATGGATGTCACCGCCGGTGGCCTGCAACTCTGCTGCTCTGCCCTGCCAGGGTGACAGTGCAATGCTGCCCTGGGGGCCAACCCCATGTGTGGCCATAGCCGCCTCTGTGCATGCAGCCACAGATCTCCCCAGGAGGTGGGAGGACTCATTCCCACGGCGCTTCCCCCCTCCCATGGGGTTCAGGCAGCCATGTACCCTCATGATGGCCAAGTCCTTGTCAGCGCAGCCGGCGTTGGACACCACGTAGAGGTGATCTTCCAGTGTGTTGGTGACAATGAGGTCATCCATGATGCCGCCTCTCTCGTTGGTGAACAGCGTTAGGGTGCCCTGTGGGACATGGCCCTCAGGAGCGCGGGCAGGCTGCTCATGTCCTCCTGTGTCCCTCTTGGACATGCCCAGGGCCCTCTGGCCCTGCCAGACACCTTGTACCCCCATACCTGTCCTGGCTTCAGCTCAGCGATGTCCCCCACCACCAGGCTCTCCATGAACCTGATGCGGTCCTGGCCGTACACACGAGTCTGGAATAGGCCGGGAGGGGCGTGAGGCCGTGTGGGTGACCCCCGCAGTACACACACACACACACACACACACACACACACACACCCGGGTACCTGCAGCATGTGGGAGACATCGAAGAGGGAGCAGCGGCGGCGGGTGTGCAGGTGGGACTGGAGATGGCCTTGTTCGTAGTGCAGCGGCAGGCTCCAGCCCGCGAACGGCACCATCCGCCCGCCGCGGGACCGGTGCAGCGCGTCCAGCGGCGTCCGCTTAAGACTCTGCCCCGCCGCCGCCGCCTCTGCCCCCCCGGGGCGCTGCTCCCCGGCCCCGCGGCGAGGCGCGGAGCCCTGCGGGGGGCGGCGGGACAGCGCGGCGCGGCAGCCCGCCCGCAGCATCCTCCCTCCCCGGCACAGCCCGGTACGGCCCCGGGGCGCCTGGGACATGGAGTCCGGCCGGCCCCCGACCCGCCCCCGACCCGCCCCCCGGCGCCGGCCTGGGGGTATGCTGGGGCACGGCCACCCGCCCTACAGACAGGCACGCACAGGCAGGACCAACGTAGCAGCTTTTAGTGGTGGTGGAAGCACCCCCGCCCGCATCTCCTCGGTCCCCCTTGTCCGCGGGAGCCTTTTGTCGCGCAGGCAGGGCCAGGGGCTGCTGCCTGGGGCAGACGCAGGGTGCGGGGACCGGCAGAGCGACGGGAGCTGGAGGGCACCGGCCTGGGAGAGGCTCTCAGGGGCCTCTGGGGCGGCAGCGCTGCTCACCGCGGGCAGACAGCACAGGAGGAGCTGGGGAAGGGCACGGGGAGGGCCCAGAACTCCCCCCCCCCCCCCCCCAGCGCCACAGGGACAAAGGCCGATGTGGGAGCACTGGAGTCCGCTTGGGCACGGGGCAGGCAGCTCCCTCCGGCCAGCACCGCCAGGGCTCACGTGTAGGAAAGCAGATTGACATCATAGCAGCCATCCACCTGGGAAAGAGAACAACTGTCAGCCCTGCACTGCACCATCCCTCTACCGGGACACCCCAAACCCCCATCCTGCCGGGAGCAGCCCCTCCAGGAGGCTCCCCCAGCAATGTGGCCAGGCTGAAGCTCTGTGAGCAGGGTGGTGGAACTCACGTCGAAGCGCCCGATGCGGGCAGCTGCCTGGCGAGTGCGGATCACCTCTGTCAGCACCCACATTTGCTGGACCTCTGTTGACACCTTCTCCGGGTCAGGTAGCTCCTGGAAAGAAACAGGCACAGTGCTGCAGAGTGGGAATGGGCCAGGTGGGCTTAGTCACTGCAAGCTTGAGCAGTGGTGTGGCTGGATGGCTGTGCTCCCTGGGAACCAGGCACTATCCAATAGTGCCCATGCTCCCAGCCTGCTGGTGGTTTCTCAATGCAGGGTAAGCAGGGCCCCACTCTAGGAAAATGGGCGGCTGAGGACATGGGTGACCCTGATCCCTGGGTGCCATGGTGCCGACACAGCCCACCTCTGCTGGCAGGCACCCAGGATGACAGAAAGCACAGCGCTGGCTTATGATTAAACACCTAATTGCACAGTCTGGAGTTTCCCAACTGCTTCCCTCTGCAGTGCTCTCTGGGTTTGGTGACAGAAAGCCCGCTGCAGGTTCTGGTTCACCATGGGGGCCAAGTGGGACCCATGGGCTCAGCAGCAGCTCCCCAGGCTGAGGTGAAGCTCTGCACTGCTTCTGCCCTGGCCAGCCCTGCCCGCAGTGCCAAGGTGCTGGTGGGTGCCTCGTGCCAATGCCCCTGGCATCTCCCTGGACCATCTCTTGAGAAGGCGGATGTGATCCAAGCAAGGGACTGGGGTGTCCTCCCCCGCAGACAGTGGGCAGGGATCTATGCTCCCAAGTCCTGCCAGGCCTGGCAGAACCCTTGCCACCGATGCAATGCGAACTCCACAGCACCCAAGTTCAGCAGCAGAACTGCTGTGCTGCTGCTGGGCAGTGTGGCACAGCTCCTGGCCCAGCCTGCTCTTGGCTGATTCTGCAGGTTCTCACAGACCAGCTGCCCCCTGTGCCTTGGTCTGCCCAGATTTTGCTCACTGGAAGCTGCTTCCAGGCAGATGTGCCTCACAAGCTGTAAACGTGCACCATAGCTGTGAGCTCCCTCTGCCCATGGGCTGCTTTGGCTGGGCAATGTATTCTGCAGCATGCACCTTCCTGGTGGGGTCTGGAGCCAATGGGGCAGGGTTGGGGCTAGCAGCCCCACCAGGGATGCTAAGGTCCATGGCCAGCACCCCACACAGGTCTCTCTTCCCCTCAGTACCTCAGCAAGGTCACTCACCCCAGGCAGGCTGGCTGGCTGCTCCGGAGGGGTCAGCTGGGAGAGCCAGGAGGGGAAATCCGTCTGGGGGCTCTGAAACACATCCAGAGGGTCACATAAGGGTGTCCCCAATACCATCTCCATCTCTCACACCATGCAGCACGCTATGTGGTTCAAAGCCCCGGCATATTTATATTGCTAGGGATGTAAGTGACACTTTACCATCATTAAAGGAAATTTTGTGTTTTGAGTTGTTGTTTGCCACCCTTGAGTTGTTGCAGTAACCTCCAGCTCTAGCCCTGCTTGTCAAACATCTACCTCAGGAATAGGCAGGGCTGGGGCTGGCTGGAGCCATCCCTCCCTTTGGCCCCCAGGAGCTCCAGCAAAGGATAAGGACTTGGACCCACATCCTTGTGTCCACACGAGGGAGCCTGAAGCCCCCATAGCTGCAGGGAACAACACTTGAGAAGTGGCCTTGCATGGACTTGGGGAGAGCAGCTCCCACCCGCTCACCTTCTGTCCAGGGGGGAAAATCTGCAGCTCCTCAATGGTGAACTGGAGCCAGACTGGGGAGGGCTGCCGCAGAATGAACCGTACTGCTGTCACCTGGTCCATGTCACACAGCATCTGCTGGGGCAAGGATGGGGACAGCAGTCACCAACAGGGGCTGGCCAGGCCACGCTGCGCAGGGACAGCTTTTGGGATTGTAAGGGACCTTAAAGCTCATTCAGTTCCAACCCCCTGCCATGGGCAGGGACACCTCCCACTAGACCAGGTTGCTCCGAGCCCTGGCCAACCTGACCTTCACGGACACTTCACTCTAGACTTCCTCCAAAAAACCCCAACCCACCCTGAACGGAAGGAGCCCGAGGGAAGTGTCACCTCGTGGTGGCTGTCTGGGCTGAGCGTGGCAGGGGCACGACCAGCACCAGGACCCTCGCTGCTGGGGGTGTACACGGTGGGACATCAGCACAGGGCCTTAGGGACTGGGAGCTGTCCTTGGGGGGTGGGCAAAGAGGGGTGAGCCCCAGAGCACGGGTGATGCCACGGCCACCGTGCAGCCGTGCCGACCTGGTTGCGGTGGAGGGAGAAGTAGTCCTGCGCGCCCTGCTCGGTGTGCGGGCAGGGCATGAGGCACATGTCCCGCAGGCAGGTCACCCAGCGCCGGGAGCCGCCGGGGCCGGGCCGCTGCACCCGCACGCTCAGGAACGCCGTGTAGAAGTTCTTGAAGACGATCTCCTGTACCTGCGGTGGAACCGGCGGCTCAGATCCCGCCCCGGCACCTCCAAAACCGGCAGCGGCACCCCCCACACCAGCACCCCTCTTAGCAGAGCCGGTATCCCCCACACCAGCAACCCCCTTACCGACCCCAGCGCCTCCTCCCCATATCGGCACTGGCAACTCCACCCCACACCAGCACAACGCCCCCCAATACCAGCACAAACGCCCCCCCCCAGTACTGGAGCCTTCACTCCCCATACCGGAACCGGTAACACACCCCCCCAAAAAAGGCACCGCCCGTGCCCTCCCATACCGGCACCAGCATCCCCCTCCCCCGCTACTGGGACGGGCACGGGCACCTGGCCACCCACCCCTAGCATCCCGCCCAACACCGGTACGAGCGTTGTCCCTGGCAATACCGGGCACCGCCACCGGCATCCCCTCCCCGCACCGGGACCACTCCCCCCAGCACCCCTCTGTCCCCTCCACAGCGGTACCGTCCCGGCCCAGGCCGCACTCACATCGGCGGCGGCGCCGCGGGGGAAGCGCAGGTCGATGACAGCGACCCCGGGCCGGGCGGGCTCGGTGCCCCCGCTCAGCTGTAGCGCGGCGGCGGGGCGGGGTGCGCAGGGCAGCGGGGAGCGGCCCGGCCCCACCGGCGGCCCCGGCCCCGCCGCTCCCGACATGGCGGCGCCGCGCGGCCGCCCTTCCTGGGCGGGACCGGCACCGGGGCGATGCCGACCGGAAGCGGGGACCCCACTCCCGCCAGCAGGGGGCGCCGCTCGCCCGGTGCTGGTGCGGGGAGAGCGCGCACGCGTTACCGGCGGGCCGGGCCCGTTCACCGCGCGCAGACCCCCCCCGCCCGTGCGTGCCGCCGAGGTGAACTGTGCTCCCGGCAAAACCGACCCGAAAGGGCGCCCCGGGAAAACGAGCGCGGATCCCAGCGTAGTCGGCGCCAAGGAGAAGGAGAGGGAAGGGAGGGAGGCGGCGGCCGCGGGGGGCCGAGCTCGTACAAACGGCGGGCAGCGCTACACCGGGTTTAACTCTTTTAATAAACTTCTGGAGGCTGTATCAAAACTCTTGTAAAAAATCAGGTTTGAGACTTCGCTGATGGTTTTACTATGAACTGACCCTCTCCTGCTTTTTTTTCTCCCCCCCTTTTTTTCCCTTCTCTTCCCCCCCTGCCCCTTTAACCTTTTATCTTTTCCAACAGCATCCCGGCACTGAGCAGCCGGGAGGAAGTGCACAACCCGCAGCCAGGGGCTGGGGAGGCTGCTCCAGCACCGCTCCCAAAAGCGGAGGCAAAGAGACAGCACCAGCCTCAGAGAACCCCCCCCATCATCATCACTCAAACCCCTCTCGGGGTGTGCGGTTTGCTCAATAAAAGGCCACCCCAACCCCAGTACTCGAGGGGAAGAGGAGACGCTGTTGCATCATGAGGGTCCCACTCACCCTCTGGGCACAGTGCTGAACCCAGAGGTAGTACCCGCAGCCACTCTGACTCAAGTGATGACTACTGCATGATGTGAGAGAAAATAGCATTTCTTTCATTAAAAAACAAAAGAATCAACCCCCAAATCTAGAAGCTGATCCCCACCTCTGAGGAGGAGGAGGCTGGCTGCCCTCCAGGGTCTCTCCTTAACCAGCCCCCTATCACCCTGGAGCTCACCTGCGGCACAGCACTGCCCTCCCCTTTCCCAAACCTACACATCCCGGTTTAGGGGAACAGCAGATTAAATGTAAAAACTTAAAACCATCGGCTTCAGAAAGTCCCTTGAATTTAATTATTTTGTTTTAGGCTACCTTTCATGTTACGTCCTGTAGCTAGACACACGTGAATAGAAAAAACAGTACAGTTAGTGTTAAAGGCAAACAGCGGAGACCCAGAGTGCTACCCCAGTGCTGCCTGCTCCTCCCGTCCCGACCCATCCCATCCCCTCCCTGCCCGCCGCCCGGCCCTGGCCCGAAGCCCAGCCGCCAGGAAGGCGTGTTTGAGCCGAGATTTTTTTGTTTCTCTATGAATAAAATAAAACCAAAGCTTGTTAGGCAAAAATAAAACAAGTGTCCCCCCGAGTCCCACAAGTGCGGCGGGCACAGCCAGGGAGCGTCTGCTGGGGTTCTGTGTTCCCGGCTGGCGAGGGGGCTGACGGCCCACAGACAGCACTGGTGTGGAGCTGGAGTGGAGGCCCCTTCTCCCCCCCCAAGATCCTCCTGTTCGTTAAGGGGGCACGTAGGGTGGCGGGGACCTGTATGGGGTCATGTTCTTCGGACGGGAGCCTTTGCCTTCCATGGGTGCAGTGAAGGGTGGGGGGGGCTGGTAGGGCGGTGCATTGGGGTCCTCATCCCGCAGCGGTGTGTACTCCCCGATGGTGTCCTGGTTAAGCGGCGTGGTCTCTGGCATGCTCTGGTTGGGGTACTCTGGGGGGGGCAGTGGGGCTTTCTCCTCCTGGAGGATGAGGGGCATGCTGGAGGATGGCGGGGGCTTTGAGTCATCCAGCTCATCAGCAAAGATGATGGGCACGCCTTTCTTTATGAAGGTGGCCTGGTCTTCGATGGTCAGCTTTCCTTTTCTCTTCTTGCGGTAGCAGATCATAGCAATGATACCGGCCACGAGGAGGATGGCGGCCACCACCACGGCGGGGATGACGGTGTGCAGGTACACATCGTCCTCGCTGCTCTTCTCGGGGTCTTTGCCTGCTGCCACCGTTGGCGTCGCCTCCGAGATCACCCTTCCATCCTTTGTCACGGGGATGAACTGGATGTGCCTGCAGCTGCCAGAGCCCACCACCGACACATTCAGAGGCTTGAACTCAGGCTGCAGGACGTTGGAGAACCCCGGGCTCGGCCTGCCAGAGTCATCCGCAATTTTTTTGCTCAAAGTCCGGATCTGCTCTCGGGGGCAGGGCTCTAGGGGCAGCGTGTTGTTCGTCCACTCCACTACGATGGAGCCTTTGGCAATATCCTGCACTGTGATGGTGCTGCTGTTCCTGTCACCGAATGCCAGAGCCAGCTTCTTTACCAGCATGATCTTCTTATTGATGTCATTTACCACAGCATTGTGGTCCCCTTCCAGCCTGGCCTTGAACTTCACCGGTGACTTGTCCCCATGCGGGCGTTTGTGGACATGGATTTCAAAAGCATCCACCGCAAAAAGCCCACCTTTGTCAGTTGCATACATGAAGTACTCGTGCTTCCCGATGTGGCTGTGGTCGGGCATGCCGTACATGAGCTGGCTGGTGCTGTTGAACTGCACCCACGAGTTCTCCTCTATCATCTGCTGCTCCTTCAGCTTCAAGGTCAGCTGCAGTTTATCAGTGGTGGTATCCTCCTTGTCATAGAAGGTATCCGATGGTATTTTAACCTCGAAGTAAGTACCTTCCCAAGCATCGACTCTGTCAATGTGGTTTGTCAGCTTGGGTGGCTCATTTGGCTCCCAGGGCCGGGGGATCCCGCTAGCTGTGGTGCGTACGCGGGTTGGTGGCGAGGCTGTTGTCAGCTTGGAGATGGGGGATCTGGTGGTGCTGGGGGGCTTTGTTGGACGGGGTGTTTTGGGTCTCCGAGTAGGCCTTCGTGTCATCGTTGTGGAGGAATCTGTGGTGGATGGCGTGGCTGGCTTCAGAGTGGAGACTCTTGGTTTCTTGGTGGTGGTTGTGGGTGGTGTGATCACTGCCGTGGGCTCTACGTACCCTGGCATCGTGGGGCGAATTGGCACAGTGGCCGTGCCAGTGCCTTCTGCTACCCTGGTTGGCTGGATGGGTCCCAGAGTGGGTGTCTGGACGATGGGGCCTCTCGTTCTGATGGTGACTGTAGGCTTCCTCGGCAGCGGTATGGGCTCCCGGACCGGGGGTGCCGTTGTCTCTGTTGGAGGTGCAATGGCGGGTGACGTTGGGGTGGGGACAATCCTGGTCGGTGGCTCTTGTGCGGCAGTAGTGGGTGGCCCGATGGCAGTCAGAGGCGTAGGGGTGGCATTGATCTGCCGCCGCATCCTCTTTGGGAGGTGAGGCTTTTTGTTAGCAATGTGCCAGCCAACAACAGGGTAGCCCAGGCGGGCAGACATGGTTCCTTCCTTAGCTGGAGCCTCCACCTTGCTGATGTTGGGGACACTGTTTTGGCTCAGAGAACATCCCAGTTTCCATGAAAGTAAGGCCCCGTTTTCCACCACCTTCTTTGCATTTCCTGGTCCAGCCATGAAAGCCGACATGTCAAAAAGTCTGTTATTTACAACAGGAACCAACTTCATGTTGTGAAGTTCTACCTCCGAGAAGCTTCTCATTCTGCTTAAGAGTTCAATCCTCTGCTTTGGTGTCATTTTTGTTAGGTCGGCATCCAAAATGACAGTTAGGATGGTGACTGGCTCTTCCGAGCCACACACAAATGGTGCCGCATCACTCGTGTCTTGGATGGCCGCTCGCACTGACTGAGGCTCGTTGTGGTCTTCTTGGTGGACCTCAACAGAGAAGACGTTTGCAGTCTGTGGCACATAGCTCCCATTGGGGAAGGGCTGCAGCGTGGTCACCGAGATGTAATGGACGCCCTTGTCTGTGTCAAGGGGCAGCCCTTCCAGGGAGCTGCTCTCCGCGTTCCAGTGTAACCAGGAAGGCAAGGAGTCCTTCCCAGCTTCAGAGATCTACCAAAGGAAGAAAAGAAGAAGGTGCTCTTAGAAGTACAGCATTAGCACAGGTTTTAGCAGTAATGACACTTAATTTGAAGGATTAAAGAAAAAAACCTGAAGCATAAGGAGGGAAGAACATCCTGGCTACAGAGAAACAGCCTGTGTCTTCTCCTCTCTATGGTGGCAAGGACGAGCTCTGTAGGGCACTGGTCCCAAAGGGCTTCAGGAGCCACAGGAGGTCATGAAGCCCTGTAAAGGTCCCTCACCTGCAGGCACCAGCTCTCTAGCACTTGCTGTGCAACTACGAAGCACAAGTGGTTCATTTTCTTTGAGGGCAGAAGGGGAGTTTAAGTCATGGGGACAGCTACAAAGCTGAGGATGAAGTTACACCACGCAACAGAGATGATCCAACAACTGCCCTCTTCCCACCCCCTCCTCTCCCATCCCTGCTTTCTCACTCCTTTCCTCTCCTGATCATGCCCTGCAAGCCCATCGCTCCAGTGGCCTGACATGCGGCCAGCACAGCACTGCCACAGCAGTGTGTGCAGCCAGGGTCTCAGCACTGGGGCATTGCTGGACATCGCACACGGCGGCACACCAACCAGGGCTCAGGTTAGCTTAAGATGAGAAAGATTTCACTTTCATACAGTACCTTGCTTCTGCAGACTACAAACAAGTGGCTTTGGCCAGACCACAGGCACCTCAGGACTCCAACACACTATTTAACTACCTCTTTTAGGTCAACAGCAACACCTTTTCTTTTACATGACTTGTGGTGCAGACTGATAAAGCACAGTCCTCCCCTTCAAACTGCCCAGCCCCAAAGCAGGGCCAAACCATGCAGCGATGGGGTGTCCCTACAGTCTAGAGGAGCAAGCTTGTGGTAACCTCACTGGCTGCCTCCTCTTCCCAGTCCTTCTTCATCCATTTGTACCTTTCTCAGCCCACCCTCCTCTTTCAACTTCAGGTCTCCTTCCCAGCCAGCCCATGCCCAGACCCTGCAGGTCTCCTTTTGCTCATGTGGAAAATACCCAGGTTCTCTCCAAAATGCCACCAGCCCAGCTGACACCCTGTCAAGGTGCTCTCTGCCCCGTGCAGGGGAAAG